CTGGGAAAGGTCACTGACAGAACAATTAGGAAGGAAATAAATGGTTCAGACAACAGCTTGTGAATCAAATGAAAAGTCACTGTTTTCCCAAGCGGCATGAGACTGGGACAGCTCAATTCAAAGACGGGGTGGGACAAGGGAAAGCTGCTGCTGGGGCTGGCTGGGGGGGTACAGCAAAATGCGAGGCATCACAGATACAGGAACAACTAGGACACATGGCACCCAAACCGAGAAGCTCACAAGCTGTGAACGAATCACCAGGACAGTGTAAGGGTGTGCAGCTAGCGGCGAGCCCTACCTGGGAGGAAGGCCAGAGAAAGCCTCCAGCAGGCAGAACCTGGGACTCAGTCTGCTCCATGAACACCCTAACCAAGAAGTTCCTTCCTACCACAGACCCTGACGCTAGGCATGGAGGAGACGTCTGCGCATTCTGACTGCTTTTCTAAGAGCAGAGGGTCTCCCACACTGTTGGGCTAGGAATGGATGAAATAAGGCAAGGAAGGGAGGGAAAGATCTAACTAGGGGGACCCCTCACTGTGTAGGACGCTGGGTGCCTCTGAATGCCCTGACAAAGCAAATCCACTGAACTCGTTGGGGACCTCTAAAGCAGGAGCCAGCAGAAAGCTCCATCCTGGACCTCACACTTATGGGAACCCCACACCTACAGAGACCGCACCACGGGGCTCCTCTGCCACCACTGTGTTGATGGAGACTACACTGGGGATGGGCAGACAGAATCCTCTCGCTGGAAAGGATACTTGGGACTTTCTGAGAGAGAAAGGTAATATAACCACTTATTAGCCTGAGTGCCGACCCTGAATATATACAGAATGGAATCCATGGAGTGATTTGCCCATCAGAAACATAAATCCTAGCCATGCTTTCTCTTCAGCACTAAAGATTTTACCCTGGGGCAGCGGATTAATTAGCCTTATCCGAGTTTCAACTTCCTTAATCAAGGAGGGTTAATGCCACCACGAGGCATTGGTGCACCCATGTATGTGTGCACCAATGCACGTCCCCATGCAGTTTGCACGAAAGGAGCAAGATGCAGCCTTTCCTGCCATGGGACAAGCCCACCTTCGGTGGCAGCGGAGGAGACAGGAAGAGAAGGGCGTCTCTCTCTAGCGTAGTTTCCATCTGGGAGGATGTGACAATGGAAGGAGTCTGAGATCAAGCTCAGGGAGGGCTCTCATGCTCAGCCTTATGGCCTAGCTAACTTAGGGAAGCTCCGGGCCCTTGAGAAAAGCCAGTCCCACCTCAGCAATCCCTCAAACCTGGAATCCTACATGGGCTGGATCGTGTGACCAGAGGATGCCGCCAGCAGGCTGTGCTACGTGACAAACTGCATAGCCACACTGGGGTGAGTGCAGGGAGAACCTTGGCTAGCACCACTGTCAAGAGGACTGAAGAGCTCCAGAAACAATAGCAAAAGGCAGAGAGCTCACTGCATGATTTAACTGCTTTTAAACAGACTTGCCTATTTAGAAATAGAAAGCCTCTGAATTATTAATCCAGTGAGGCAAATAATTATATCAGACTGTAACCTGGCAGGGGTGTCATCTTGTCATGACATCTGCTGCTCCAGGGCTTCTCTATTGTACAGAAAATTGAAGGCGAGTCACCAAATGTAATTTCAACTTGGCTCTGCATGTTGAGCCAAATCACAAAGCTAAAAGGGTGCATGTTTAGTTCAGTGTCTTTTCTCAGCCCACTGTATTAGGAAGGAAGCTCACAGTGCTCTAGGCTCTCACTGTAAAGTATATCATCATCAGTCCAGAAAAAGACAGTGGGAGACAGAACGGCAGTGGATGAATGAGGAAGGCAGCAAAAAGCCAGAAGACTCCCTGGGAGGCCCTGGCAGGGAAGCAAAACCTTCCCAAGTTTCGGCGCAGTCTCTTTCCTCATTCACACTCTATTCCCCACCTCGGCTTCACTATGCACTCCTGACACCTGACACTAAAACACACTCATAGAAGACCCTGATCCACAGGGACGGCCCCTAATACAAGTCACGCAGGGATGTGTGCCCTGTAAACTGCCGTGCTGGTTAACTTTGCTGTTAGCCTGACAGGACCAAGACACTCCTGGAGAGGTGACCGAAGCTGGGCCCCGAGAGCCCCAGGGCATCCACAGGGACTGGGCTGTCGGGTGGAGCCTTGCTGGGAAGAGTGGGCAGTGCTCCTATCTTGGGGACACTGTCCCTTTCTTCGTCCCCTTTCTATCTGGTTCTTTCTAGCCTCGTCTGCTTCTCAACTGTTGCCAGCTGAGCCGACTTCCTCCACCACACCCTCCACCAGTCGTAGTCCTGCCCACATGCGTCTAGCGAAGCCAGTTGACCGTGGACGTCTGAAACTGCGAAACAAAACTACGCCTCTGAGGCACAGGTGCCAGCTGCCTGGGACAGCCGAACAGAACAGCTGAGCCCGGACCAACCACTGTGGGAAGCCCCTTCCGGGAACCACACGGAACCCGTCCAGCCCCACACTCAGCTGCTCTCGCCTGCCACCTGGCTCCCTCCTGCAGCACAGCACTGCCTGACCGCTGCCCTGCTATGCCAGGGCTCTTCTACTCTCACCTCCCGGAGTGATGCCTCCTCGCTCCAACACCCAGCACAGAGTCTTTCACGTAAAGGACGGATGATGTCCTTTTGGCAAAAGGACAACAGTTTAAGGGATTTTCTTTCCATACCTCACTCCCTTCATCCCAAAGGCTCTGGCCCTATCACAGAGTATACAGAATCCACCCCTGTGGTCTCCCGCACATTCCCCTCACACAGATCTTTGTGGCAATGGAGGCTTAAAAACAAAATCAATAATGGAACGGAAAGACCACACAAACATACAGGATCCTAGCATTCATTAATAATTCCGGTGAAGTATGTACATGAGTTACTGTCCTAAGTGTTTTTGCATTTATTATTTAATCTTTACAACGAGGCATCCGTTAATTCCTTCACTGAGCAAACATGTATTAAGCACCTCTGACTGCCAGATTCTCTTCTAGGTGCTGAGGACCCAGCTTTGAATCAACAAGTACAACCTCCCTCTCTCTAAAGCTTAGGCGCTAGTGGTGGCAGGTAGACAATAAATAAATCAGTGAGTAAATACTTAGCATGCCAGATGGCCATGAGTACTAAGAAGGGAAATACAGACCAGCGGTGGATGGCAGAACCCAGGTGGGCCCTAAATACAATGACAAATGACATCCCGAGGCTCAGAGAGGAGACGCCCAAGTGAAGACAAGGGCGGATGGCAGTGGAGCGGCTTCAAGAAGGCCAACAGCCCCTGGAGTTCAAAGAGACAAGTAGGATGTTCCCTGGGGCCTCCCGAGGGCACTCGGCCCTGACAGCGCCTTGATTTCAGGCTCTGGCGTCCAGGATGGAAGGGGTACGAATACCTGCTGTCTGAAGCCACCAGGTCACAGCGGTGCCATGGCTACCCAAGGAAAGGAAGGCACAGAGGCTTCGGAAAGTGTTTGGCGCGGCAGAGTTTCGAGACGTTCAACCTGGCACCTGTATAGCGGCACCTGGATGACTAGGCATCCAGGTACCGACAGTGAACTGTGACTCAGGGCTCACCCTGAAAAAGGTCAGGGTGCTGGGGCTAATAAGGATTTAGTGCCTTGCAGCTGCCTGGCCCATGGCTGGAAGTAGCCAAACCCTTCTCTGAAACATGGGACGCCGGGGACAGCTGTTTCTCAATACAAGGACAGGTTTTCAGGCTTGTTCCATGGTTGGCCAAGCAGACTGCACAGGATATGGCTGACGCTGTCACAGGGCATCACTAAGCCTGGGCCTGAGGGATGGTTTCAGATTTCAGTTCCCCGGAAAATATCGTGTGGTTAGGAAGCAAGGCTGGCAGTGGTTACTGACGCCCCTGCCAGCCCTCAGTGAGCAGCGAAAGGAGGTACGAGACATCCCATGCAGAGGAAGACAGGCCCAGGTCACCCCTCAGCATTAACAGACACCAAGACTCCCAGTGGGACACTCCTGGGGTCCTCTGCACACGAGCAAGTCAGATGAGCGCACACTGGTCCCTGTGCTGCAAGATCCCAGCAAACCCCAGAACTCAGTACTGAGGTGAGGTCGCAGCCAGGTAAACAGCCTTTGGTGACAGCATCATCCCCTGTGTGGAGAAAGGAATGCACAGCGGAGTAGTCCCAGGGCCACTGGCACAGTGAGAAACACCAAGTCACCGTGCCGGTGAAACCTGCTGTTGTCCAGTGTGACTACTAGATGTGTGAGTGTGAGCTTGTCTGGGTGTGTAAGATCTGCGTGCGGTGTGTGGATGCGGGTGAGCCCTGTCCACAGGGAGCCTGTGTCACCGCTGCAGCAGAGCCCCGCTGACCCAGGCACCCCTCTCCTCCCACCCCTGCCCCCCGCACTGCCACAAGCCTGTGTTGTGGATTCCGCACAGAGAAAGGCAAAGTGCCCAAGCTCACATTTTAGGGGACAAGAACCTTTTAAATTCTTCTAAAATACAAAGAGAAGAATAAACTTTTAGAATGCAAAAAGTATTTTAGTACATACTGAGATACTTGTCTTTCTACCAACACAGTGGTAAAAATACAACTTCTTATGATTTCGTGTCAGGAAGGACGAAATGCCTAGAAGCCATGACAGTCATCATGCACCCTCATGACTGTGCCTGTTCCCACGGTCTCCGGCTTCTCCAGAACCAGGGCACCTTCTAGAGGCAAAGGCCATGGGACCACAGCGAGAGTCCCTGCTACAGTAACAGACCCATGGCATCCCTCTGAGCTCTCTGACCGGAAGCTGCCTTCTCCCAGTAGAGCGAGACACTGAGAGACTGCAGAGGAGGAAGGTGCCAAGGCAGCTGAGAGCCACCCAAAGAGGCTGGTGCTAAGCTCCACCAGGGGCTTTACGGGGCTTCTGGAAGTCGGTCTTCTACTCCATCATACCCCGGCTTGCCAGTCCCTTGGCCTGTGCTTCTCCAGAGCAGAGCCGAGCGGGGATTAAGAATCTCTAATCCACTTACCTCCACAGGGAACTCTCGGTCACACTCCCCAGGTTGAAGTCATACAGCTTCGTCAGGATCAGTATGACCTACAGGCGGGAAGAGAGGAAACTCACTTTAGTTTGTGCAGCACTGCACAGTGTGTCTCACATCACCCAGAGGAGGGATTAGTATTTATCCAGTGAAACGAGGGGTATTACGGGCTGAAGCAGGGGAAAATTATTAATTTAATGCATCCCTCGATCTAGTAGCATTTATTTTATATAAGCACCGCGCGTGAACCGATTGCACCACTGGAGCTCCTAGTAGCATTTATTTTAAACCTGACAGTTCTCTGCATCTGAAATGAAGCACACACACAGGAATTTGCTGGTTGGGACAGTTGCTTCTCCACACCCCACCTCCCTCCAGCTGCCTTTGCGCACCAAGGCCACCCTGAGATCAGAGGATGGGCTTGCCCTTGATCTCAATATGACTGATGTGCAGAACTGGGTCCAAAACAGGAAGACTTCTTTCTGCCTACAGAAGGGATTCAGAGAGATGCAGTTTCCAGAGGTAGGGCCTTCTTTGCAGGCGCAAATATTTGAATGGAGGCTGGCTCCACCCCCATCATTCTCTGATGCCATCGGCCACGGGTCACGTGGCATTTCTCCCACCGTGCAGTAAGCAGGTCACTGGGCTTCGCTGTGCTCCAGGTGGGGTCAGGAACCCCAGGAGGAAGAGGCACACGCATGCGTTTCCGAGAGCTGCACCATTCTCCGGATCCAAGGCAGTGGCACAGTGAGGTGACTTGGGGCTGGTCAGTTTGTTCTCCTGCCCTTCCTATCTCACCAGCTGGGGACCTGTATGTCAGACGCTGCCCTGCTGCCCCTCACAAGTACACAGGCAGTGGCTTAGGCACGACCTCCCAGCACCAAGAATGCTAAGTACCTGCCCCTGAATCAGTTCTAATCAAAAGCAGATGGATAACACACATCCGCACATCACTTGTCTGCACTAGTGACAACCCAGTTAACACAACTGTGTTTATCTAAATTTTACGCACAACTCGCTTCACTTTTCTCAGCTCCTACTGATCCCACAATTTAGCTTTCCTCCAGTTCATTTACATAGCAGCCATTAAACTCTGTCCAAGATAATGAATTTCTGCTACCGAGATTGGACTTTCTCATTCTAGGTATCTGCTAAAGGTTAAAGAAAAAGAATCAGCCATTATACTGAACATTTTTATGGCACTTTCACAACAAAATGCTTGCTTCAAGATTTCTTCTCACCCAGCACTCTAGGGTTCAGTCAGCTCTACTTCTGTTTCTTCTATGTAAACCAAAAAAGCAAAAATTAAAGGCAAGAAATGTGACCCATTGCAGGTCAAAGGGAGTCCTCGGCAAGGTTGGTTTGGACACTGAACTTCTGCTAAGACCACTACTGGAGGGCTCAGACTTCCTTCCAGACTGTCTCAGGACAGGAGTAGCAAGTGCACAGGAAGCATCCCCAGTAGAATGGTTATTTGCAGGTAGAGAATCGAGCCAGGTACCTGCGGCATTAGTGCACACAGTAGCCACTGACTCTCCGGCATCTCTGTCCTCTCCACAGACAAGCTCAGTGCACTAATGGGTTTTACAGGATAATCCCCTTCGGGCCAGTGGAAGACAGTGATACTCCATCTGGTAACTCATAGACTCAGCAGTAGATGAGGAAATGAAACAGAGGCCCAGACTGAGGCAGGACCCACGGTCTCTGCACCATCTGGACTCGTCTGAGTAACCCACAGCAGCGGTCTCACCCTGTAGTGCATAAAGCTGAAGCCAGTCAGTGGCCATCCACTGCAAGACTGCATTGGTGGGCATGGTTCCTATGGCAACCAGAGGACCACATGTAGAAAAGTCTCCATCATGCCACGATCCCTGCTTCACTCCTGTGCCAAGCTGATGCCACCCACTGCACCATGGTAAGATCCAGATCTAGCCAAGTGCTCATGTTTAAATGTGATGTAACATGACAGAGAAAGTGAGCAGTAGGAAGGCAGGAGGAGGGTGACTCGCAAGTCACGTCAGCAGTGCCCAAGGAAAGGTCAGTGCTGAGAAGTAGGGACCCAGGCTTCTTGTTCCCTGGAACAAGCACACAAAGATATTAATAGAGACATGAAGAGATGATAATGCAACCTTCTGGCTTAAGATATTCTGTACTGAGCCAACAAAACCAAGAGCGAAAGCAAGCCTACAGGTCCCTGGCTCTCTCACCATTCCCAGCCTTCCGAAGGCCACCAGCGAGGGAGGAAGCCACTATCAGGAAAGAGAACTGACAGCAGACACAGCATACCCACCCAGCAGGGCCCAGGCTGCCAGGCAAGTACTCAGATCAGAAACAGAGGGTGTGCGTGTGCCCGAATGTCAGGGAGTGGGGTGGCATGCAGGGTCTCGAGGGACGGGGGCTGGTCCCAGACCCACAGCAAGCCTGACTTGACTCTCCTCCAGCTGATGCCCCAGAGTGAGAGTGGCGGTCAAATTCAAGTAAGGAAAAGCAAAAACCAAACATTAATTGGAGCCCTACTATGTGCTAAGAACTAAGCCGGATGATCACATCCTGCTAAAAACCTGGGAGACCCAGCAGGTATGTCATTGCCTTACACACCAGGAAAGAGGCCCCATAAGCAAAGCATCCTCATGGCCACCAGCCAGCGAGGGACAGAGCCAGCATTCCCAGGTTCATCTGCTGCATCCGTGCTGGTTCCCATGCAGTGCTCCCATGCAGTGCTCCTTCCTGCAGCCAGGGCTCCTGGGGACTTGTGTGGGGTGACGAGCAGAAGCAAGCACGTGGTCTGCTGTGCCCTGGCCCTCTGGGGTTTATCATTCAGTCCTGAATGCCACATGTATTCACATGCCAAACTCTAGGAATCAGACCCAGAGCTCAAGGTGGAAGATAACTGCGGCCTCCTTTGTTCTTTGAGAAAGAAACAGAGATACGTGGTAAGGAAAGAAGCGAACTGTTAGGAGACCCAGGCTTGCCAAATAAGCTTTGTCAAATAAGTACCTCTTTGACCTGACGACAAATCTGGAGTTCAGACAGCCAGAGAAGTGAAAATAAAGTGAAATAATTCATGAGTAAATAGCACCGCTCTTCTCGTAAGCTAGGTCTACACAGGCACATATAGGAGCCAAGTCCGCGTGCACGCGTGCGTGTGTGTGTGTGTGTGTGTGTGTGTGTGTGTGTGAGTCAGAAAAGCACATACGTATTCGGGACTCAGTACAGGGTAAGGGGACTAAAGGACATGCTGGCCTCCTACCAGATCAGCTGTCTTTCTGCAGACCATCCACCTCCAGTTTCTTTCCCCAGGCGTCCAGTGTCCTCCCTGCCCAGGTGGTCAGGCCGGCTATAGACAGACACACCATGCCAGCAACTAATGCCTCTGTGCTTTATCTCACACTGCCCCTTCTCCCCTTCATCTCTCCCTGCCCTCGGCCAGGCACAGAAGATGCTGGGTGACAAAGCGACCAGAAAAGCAAAGGCTCCTGTTGTCAGGGAGCGGGTGGTCCCCCTTAGCTGCAGCCTCCGGTGTTGCTGTATTTCTGGGCAGGCCAGGCCAGGCCAGGGTACCCGGTGGGAGGAGCTTCCACTCCACACATCCTATCCTCGAGGGCGACGCTCCCAGGTCGGCAGGCTCGTACCTACTTCACACAGAGCCCTTCTGCAGGTCCCGTGTCCAAACACCCACTTGCCACCATGCCAGCCTTCTGGCTCCTGGATAGGCCTGGCACCGAGGTATGGGAAGAACACAGCACCCAGAACCAGAGGACAGCTGACTCCCTAACGAGGGGCTCAGGACACAGTTCCCAAGCTTCTCCAGGCATACAAGTTCAGATCCAGTAAGGGAGGCCACTGCCATGTAAGCTGCACAGTGCACAGCAGAATTACTATGGGACAGCTCTTCTCAGCTTACAAGGGTTCCCAAGACTTATTTGGTGGGGAGAGGATTGGATTCCAGAGTTGGCAGCCTCCTAAAATACGCCAGTCAGTTCTACTGCAAGGCAGGAGGCTGTGCCAGAGTGTTCTCCTGGCCGCTCTGCAAAGTTTGGGAAGGCAGGCGGGAGGTCCCAGCAGATTCCTGTCCTCAGAAAGGGTAATGCGCAGCCCAACAATTCATACATCACTAGCACACTCCTGCCCATGAGGTGAGGCCCTGTGATGCCAATCAAATTTTACTCTGAAGCTCATTAACCTGTCCCAAAATCTTGGTGCCTTTAACTCCATGGGTCTCTCTGCGCACCCCCTACATTCTCCTCCTCCTCTTCCTTCTTCCTTTCTGTCTCCCTCCCTCCCCCTTCCTTTTTGTTTCCCCGATTAATATGTAATATGCGGTTACGCATGTTTACAGAGCACAACAGGATATTTCAACACAAATATACTGAACCTCTGGGGTGATGAGCACTTCCACCTCCCTGTCAGTTCTTTATGTTTGGAGGCTTTGGGCTAAAGAACTAGGAATAAGGTGATCAAAAGTGAAGGGAACTATGTCCCAGGATCCTGCCCCAACCTGAAAGTTCTTTGTCCCCTGACAGTGGGAATAGGCAAATGGCTTTCTCTACCAAGAGTAGCTAAGGATGATGTGCTAAACATATGCCTAGCGCGTGCCGAAAGCGCACACTCAAAGCCTCAGGGGTGTGTAGTGAATCCCAACATCCTCCTCCCACCTAGAGGAGCCTCCACCTCCTGTGGTACGAAATGAACATTTATAATCCAAAGCCCACTGGATCCACAGGACAAGGCTGCCCATGCACCCACTGGGTGTGCCTCCCACTATGAATCACACGCTACTTGGGAGGCACGGAATAAAGGAGCTCAAGAGATACCGACTTCATCAGTACATCATGCATGAAGTTTCGGACACCTGTCGCCCTCTCTTCCTGGTTGTTGAAGGGTACATCTTCAACTCTGTGGCTCAAGCCTGGACCTCAGCATGACCCGATTCCTTCCTCATCCTCATGTAGCAAGACAAACTCTGAGTTTTCTGAACTACGCTGCAGTCCTTGAAATTGCAGGATTCCATTCAGTCACCAACCAATGTGTAGGGAGAGCTTTCTGCTAAGTACCG